GTTGTGGTGCAGTGTTTTGAACTGTTGGTTGTGGTGCAGTGTTTTGAACTGTTGGTTGTTGTGCTGGTTTTGGTGCATGCCTGTGTCTGTGTCCATGTGACGATGTAAATGTTTTAGGTAGTCCTGGTGCAGGTGCTTCTCTTGGAGGGTTTGGTGGTATATAAGTTCCACTAGCTAGTATATAAGTTCCACCAGCTGGTATATAAGTTCCACCAGCTGGTATATAAGTTCCACCAGCTGGCACATATGTTCCATCTGCAGCATAATGTCCTACCTGACTTTTCGTTTTTAAGAAAGCATTTACTAGGTCTGTTTTGGTCTGTTGTAACTCTTTTTCTTGACTTTTCCACAACAGTTGCTCTAACGGCGTCATAGGCACTTTGAACTGCCTGTCTCGTTGCTGCATCTGTTATTTTCGTCATATTTTGTGCTACTTCTCTTAACTCGTTGTCGAAACCTTCAGACTTCAGTTTCTTTCCAGATGAGAAGTCGTTCACTAGTTTCACCTTACTATGAAGAGCTTCGAAGGCGTTCTTAAAGTCAGCATTCATTAAAGCTTCATTTGAACTGTCTTCATCCGCTTGTATTTTTGTCCTTATTGACCCTATAAAAGTTGGGCTGCTTTGGCGTTGCTTGGCATCTAACCAGTCATTATTAGCTTTTATATATTCTGAGCTTTTCATTGCCTTTTGCATGGCTGCGTCGTTATTTTTACTTTCTTGTGCTAAGTTTTCATACTGTACGGTTTGGTTTTGCAACTGTAAAAGTTTTTCTGCCTTTACATTTGCTTCAACTTCTTTTTTATACTCATCGCTATCCATATATGTCTTCAGGGCTTTTTGTTTTATTTCTTCATCTTTCAGTACTTTATATTGAGTAGTATGGTTTTTCAAATTTATAACATCTTGTTCCATTTTTGCTACTTCTGCTGCTTTTTCTGACACTTTTTTCGCATATTCCTCTGTACTTAGTTCTTTCAGTTGTTCTTCTTTCTTCTTTTTCTCTACGTTTAACTCATTGAGTTTCTTTGTGTGTCTGTCATATTCTAGTTTCTTTTCGTTTTCACTTATTTGTTTCTGTATATCTATGTTTGACTTTTTGACATCTGTTATTTGATTTTTGAGTGAACTCAAATTCATTTGACTTTGAGGGTTATAAGCTGTTCCGTCTGCAGCTCCACCATAGCCTGCCATTTTCGCTAAAAGTGCCGCTCTTAAACCTCCACTCTGTGCACCAATAACTCGGTTTAAAAGCATAGGGTTGCTTGACATTTGTTGCAACATAGTGGGGTCATTCATAATTTGTTGTTGCAACTGTTGTTGTGGTGTCAGTTTTACTATTGGATGTTTCAATGCTCTCTTCCTCTTACGTATATTCTTACGTAGCTTACGTGGCATTTTAAGTGAAGTTAAAAAGCGGTTTTTGACAGATGTTTGTATGACACTATTTGTTCAGCACAAAGTCCAGTCTACTTGGTATTGAAAATCCCATGTGTTATAGAACGGTGGGTCCACTATAAAGAAAACATTTTCCTTGTCTTTATATTTTTGGGTCCTTTACACTCATTACGAAGAAGTCTTGACAAAACATTTACGAAGAAGTCTTGACAAAACATTTACGAAGAAGTCTTGACAAAACATTTACGATGAAATCTTGACAAAACATTTACGAAGAAGTCTTGACAAAACATTTACGAAGAAGTCTTGACAAAACATTTACGAAGAAGTCTTGACAAAACATTTACGAAGAAGTCTTGACAAAACATTTACGAAGAAGTCTTGACAAAACATTTACGAAGAAGTCTTGACAAAACATTTACGAAGAAGTCTTGACAAAACATTTACGAAGAAGTCTTGACAAAACATTTACGAAGAAGTCTTGACAAAACATTTACGAAGAAGTCTTGACAAAACATTTACGAAGAAGTCTTGACAAAACATTTACGAAGAAGTCTTGACAAAACATTTACGAAGAAGTCTTGACAAAACATTTACGAAGAAGTCTTGACAAAACATTTACGAAGAAGTCTTGACAAAACATTTACGAAGAAGTCTTGACAAAACATTTACGAAGAAGTCTTGACAAAACATTTACGAAGAAGTCTTGACAAAACATGAAAACATATATAATTTGTGAAAAAGCGACACAAAAAGTGTCACCGGCTGGGGTTCGGTCCTCCTCTTGGGTCTTGGGCAAAATTTCTTATGGGCTAGAGGGCACAAAGTGCCCGGAAGGCCATCCCAAGAAAAAAAAAACTTCATTATACTCATCAACTTCAGGGACTAGAAGGCACGAAGTGCCTGGAAGCCCCACTACCTTTTTTTTTTTTTTTTTTTTTTTTTATATTTATCATTGTTTAATGATATTCTTTTTCTTTTCCTATTTATCATTGTTTAATGATATTCTTTTTCTTTTCATATTTAGCATTGTTTAATTACATTCTCTTTCTTTTCATATTTATCATTGTTTTATATGATTATTTTTCTTTTCATATTTATCATTGTTTTATTATATTCTCTTTCTTTTCATATTTATCATTGTTTTATCCGATTCTCTTTCATTTCATATTTATCATTGTTTGATAGAATTCTCTTTATTTTCATATTTATCATTGTTTAATTACATTCTCTTTCTTTTAATATTTATCATTGTTTAATTACATTCTCATTCTTTTCATATTTATCCTTGTTTTATTATATTCTTTTTTCTTTTTATAATTATTATTGATTTATGAAATTCCCTCGATATTAATAGATGTCCTCTTAGTATTGCAATCAAAGAGAATTCAATGGAAATTGTCCAATTCCTCGTTGATCATGGTGCAGATGTTAACATGAAACTTATTCTCTTTCTTTTAATATTTATCATTGTTTGATAGAACTCTCTTTATTTTAATATTTATCATTGTTTAATGACATTCTCTTTCTTTTCATGTTTATCATTGCTTTATGATATTTTCTTTCTTTTCATATTTATTATTGCTTAATGACATTCTCTTTCTTTTAATATTTATCATTGTTTAATGACATTCTCTTTCTTTTAATATTTATCATTGTTTTATAAAATTCTTTCGATATTAATGAATGCCCTCTTAGTATTGCCATCAGAGCGAATTCGATAGAAATTGTCCAATTCCTAGTTGGTCATGGTGCTGATGTTAACATGAAACTTATTCTCTTTATTTTCATATTTATCATTGTTTAATGACATTCTCTTTCTTTTCATGTTTATCATTGCTTAATGAAATTCTCTTTCTTTTCATATCTATCATTGTTTGATGGCTTTCTTTTTCTTCTCATATTTATCATTGTTTTATAAAATTCTTTCGATATTAATAGATGCCCTCTGAGTATTGCCATCAAAAATAAAGCAACAAATATTATCACTTTCTTAGTTGAACATGGTGCTACAGAAGTTGTTCCGGTCGAAGAAAAACCAGATTTAGGATCTCTATTCATTTTCTAAACAATTCAAAAATCAATCTGACACCATCGAAAAATGAAACTAAGAATATAATAAATATTCATTATTCCAAAATTCAGCGATTTTTATTTCAGAACTAGTGTACGTTATTGACACTTGGGATAAATCCGAAACAAATTAGAATTCGCTAGCATACGATTATTTTTGATTCAAATGCTGTCGGTATTAAAAGAAAAAAATAATCATATACTAGAGAATTGCGCATTTACGTCATTTTTGGGGTCGTTCCCCTGACAAAACTTCGGAAAAGTGCCAATTTTCGATTTTTTCCCCCTCCATAAATAAGTGTTTTTGAGAGATTTAATATCGTCAAAATCATTATATTTATTGAAAATATTTATGTAATAATTATTTCAATGTTGGAATTATACTGTATATTTACTAATAATCAGCTATATTGTTCATATATGTGTTATACACCTTAAAATATAATGAACTCAAATTTTTCTAAAATACATGCTCTATATTAATAATTTGTTAAGTTCATTGAACAAAAATGAACAAATACAATGTAATTACAGCTGATTTTAGTATGCATATGTTATATTGTGTGATAGATACTTCATAATCAAGAAGATATTTACCATTATTTTTATATGAGATTTAAATCTATTGAAATAATTCAAACATTGCATGAAATTGGCAAATTTGAAGTAATTTGAGTAATTTTGAGATGAAAATTTCTTAAAAAATTCTGAAATCCAACAAATATTTCGAAATTTTGTTAAAAATACTTTCGAAATGTTGAATTTATAAAAAATTTGGAAATTCTTGAACCTAATATTTTGTTATTTTTGTTAAATGGCTTAAATCATCAGTGATTTATAAAGTTTTGGATAAATTCTTAATTAATATTCATTCATTCAATGAGTTTGAGCAATAACACTGAAATAATAAAGTGTACACATGAATTAAACAGAAAATAACCAGCATATTCTATAGAATTTCTCTTTTTTTATCATTGATGTGAAATGCACTATATTAGAAATTATTATCTCTAGAAAATATGCCATGATATTTTACTTTATCTTGAATATTGCTTATTAACATTATACTCATAGCTCTTCTCGAAACAAATTAAAAGATTAAACGGAATGGCTATTAAACTATAAGATTGTTAAATCTTACTAGACAGGACAAGATACATTTAAGTTAAGATAATTAATATAGTTAACATCTTTGATTTATCAAAAGACGATTATTTTTCAGGAAAAACGTTTTTTCCCTTGGTCTTTTTATCACAAACGATTGCTTTTTATAATTGCTCAATTCTTTGTCTACATATATGTTAAAAATAAGAATTAAACTTATTTTCCTACGTCTAGTCTCCTTTTCGTGCTCTTCTCCTCATTGTTGTGCAGCACCCTTTCAAAAGATTTGAAAAAGAGAGTTTTCAGAGGAAAATTTGTTTAATATTTTTATCAAAATTAATACAACCACCAAAGAAGGATGAAACAATTCGAAGTATAATTTATAAAATGTATATTTTAGTAGAAAAATATAGTTTAGAATATAATTTATTGAGCATTAGCCGGTGGTGTTGGGATAGGGGCCTTCTTGATTTCTTCGTACTTAGCGACAAGTTCTGGTGTGATAGCTGCCTTGCGCTGTTGGTGAGTAACAACGAGATCTGTTAAAACTTTTGTAAGGAGTTCCTTTACATCGTTTACGGTCATTCTTGTCTCTCCTTCCTTAAGTTGGCCACCCTTTCCGTAGCGGCGGCGAGCTTCCTCGAGTTTATCGTCATCATCGAGGAAAGCTTCAAGATATTTGAAGCAAACATCTGTTGTAAGGTCGGCACCCTGTTCATCTTCGTTGTAAGATGTATAAGCGTAGTTGAAAATCTTTTCGCGGATCATTTCTGGTGTATCAGTAAGATAAATAGCTGTTGAGTTCTTGGAAGCAGTCATCTTCTGGTCGCCCTGGAGAGCTGGAATGAATCTGCCGTAGATTGTTGAAACACGGTTGACCTTCATCTTGCCAGCAACTTCACGAGCAAATCTGAAGTATGGATCTTGCTCGCGACCGCATGGGATGAGGCAGTATGTCTTCTTCGGGTCTTTGAAGACACCTGGGAAGTACTGCGGGAAGGCTGGAGCGATCTGGCGAACTGGGAATAAAACATATCCGGCGCTGTGCTCTTCTGTGAAGCCGAAAATTGACTGGATTGTATGGAGAGACATGTAGCGTGATAATTCACCAAGGAATGGCTGGCAAATGTTGAACCATTTGGATTCACGCATAATGAATGTACGTTCTGGGTCATAACCTTGAGCAATGATATCACGAATGTTGGCTTCTGTATATTTGTGGATTGTTTCCCAGGAAAGGTCGTTATCACGCATGAATTTTTCATCATCTGTGATCTGAATGATAAACCAGCAGTCTAAAGCATCCTGGATGTATTTGTTGATGATAAATGATGTAATATGGCCAAGATGGAGAGCATCTGATGATGGTCCTCTTCCTGTGTAGATGTAAACCTGCTTTCCTTTCTCCTTAGCATCTAAAATCTGTTCAAGTTCACGGTGGCAGAAATAGAGACCTCTCTTCATGAATGGATGTGGCTTCTTTCCTGTAACTTTCTCCCATCTGGCAAGAATGGCATCATCAAGTGGCTTAGCACCAAAGTCGTTGATAAGGCGCTCATCAGTCATCTTGGCGGCTCCATCTGTTGCATCTGCAAGCTTTCTAGACATGTTAAAATTTTTGAAAAAAAAAATTCAATCGAAATTCGGCCATTTTCGATAAAAGTTCAATTAATCTTCAATTTGAAAAGACCAAACATCAAAAAATATGATATAATGACCTGTCACACTTCATATTTTAACATAATTTGCGTCTTAACTATAAATTTGTGATAAATTTTTATCAAATTTGAAAGTGTAAGCCACACAACCTTGATTGTACATACAACTAGTGATGTGTGCATAAATTGCATATGTCTGCTTTGCTAATTCGTAACTCATACTAAATCAAACTCACATTTTTCGATTGAAATCTTTGTTAAACATCTTAAAAGTAATATCCATTAAACTTATCGGCCATTCCCAGCTATAACATGGGCATGAAAGCAAATATTAAAATAAAATTTTATTTAAACTAAGGTCGCCAAAAAAAGTGCGGAAATTAAAAACCGCAGTTTGAGTACTTTCTGAGAGTCTGTTTGTCAGAAAGTATACATTTGTAAACTTTCTGACACTAAAATTTTTTTGTCCTTTCAAAGTTTTTGACAATGTCAAAAAGTATACATCGGGGCTCTCAATTTTCCTCTCAAACGGCGGTTTTTTAAAAACGCTCATTTTTTCATCGACCTTATACATGAATAATAAACTTTTATTTTTTTTTAGCAAATTATTTAAGTTGCATGAAAGGCGTGCACTTTTTTTTTGAGAGGTTCCATTGAATCCTCTTTCAATAGTAAATTTTCAAGGGCACTTGAAGTTAGCTAATTTGAACTAAAGTCAGATTGTTTTTTTTTTTTTAATTGTAAGGATTATCATTGGCATTTTTTGTTTCCGCAGCAGAGTAAGTTGGTGGTGGAGCGTAAGGTGGAGGGGCGCCATAAGAATAAGCTTGTTGAGGAGGAGCTCCATAAGGATAAGCCTGTTGTGGAGGAGCACCATAAGGATATGGTTGTTGAGGTGGAGAATAAGAAGGCGGCGGTTGATAATATTGTTGTTGTTGTTGCTGCTGAGCAGGTGGAGGAGAATAGTAAGAAGGTGAAGAAGAAGGAGAAACAGCAGTATTAGTAGATGTTTGTACAACAACAGTTGTAGAAGAATTTGGAGCAGGATGTTTTGTTTGACGATTACTACTACTACTGCTACTATGTTCTTTTCCTGAAACTTTACTATTCGAGCAACAGCAAGATTTTCCACAGCAGCAACAACAGATACAGATAATAATACCTATAATTAAACCTATAACAGCAATAACAATAATAGCAATAGCATATCCTGGTAAGCCATTACCAGCAGAACCAAATGATTTGTATGTGTTAATTTTCGAATAATCATTTTTAGAAATATAATAGAAGTTATAATCTGAAGAGCTTCCATCAATTACATAATTATCATCATTTGAGCTGCCATCATTATCAAAGGTTATTTTCTCCTGTGTATATCCAAAAAATCCTGTTATAGATGGTTTATAAACTGTCTCTGAATTTGATTTCGCAGGGTATATTTCATCACCATAGTAATCAAGAGAGACATGTTGAACTTCATCAGTTTGAATTTCTGATTTTCCAGTATAGAAAGCAGAAACAGCACAGTATAATATTCCATTAGTTTCAATTTTCACTTTAAACTTCTGTGTTCCAGAGATAATGGCAGTGCGATCACAACCTATGACTGAAATGTTGTAAACAACAAAGTATGCAGATGTTGAAGAGTCTGAGGAAAGTGTGAGTGTTCCTTCTTTCCTGAATTCGATGGCTCTGATTTTTGTGTCACCAAGAATACCCAAAGTTGTTGTGTCACCAACTTTTGCGACTCCTTTTACTTTCGCTGGATTTGTAAAAACTATTATTGTACTTTCTGGAACTATGTACGTTTTACCCGAAGTGGAGAAGCTTTCAGATTGTGGGCCGTATGAAATACTTGGATATGTTATCATTGATGCTTTTCCTGGTGCAAGAGAAGTGATCGAAATTTGAAAGTCAAAAACAAAAAATTCCTTTGAGGAGTCATAGCCTTTCAGTGTATAATCATTAATTTTATTGGAGTAAAGACGAAGAGTGTAGTAAATAGATGGAGTTGTGTCCGCATATTGGACATATTTCAAGGTAACCAGTTTAAAAGCATTTGTAAAGGAGAAATATTGAGATGTAGGAAGCTCTCCATTTGTGCCACCGTAAATGTTTGAATCGGAATTGTGAACACTAATTTCGAATGGATCGTCAGAAATTATACATAATAAATGTGTTTTGGTCGTAGAACTTTCTCTAGTTGGAATTGTATATTGTTGGTCAGACATTCCAGTTGGTTGAACCCAGAATTCAAGAGAATCATATGAAGATGGAATGAGAAAAACACCAAAAGAAACGTTTAAAGATATATCACTTGAAACTATATAAGCTGTGGTTAGGCTGGTGATTTTGAAAACTCTATCTATAATCGATGTTGAATCCAATATGAGTGGAATTGGCACTGATGAGAAAACAATGTAATAATTTCCTTCACTAGGAGGGGAAAGGTCGATGATTAACTTTGACTTTGAGGAAGAAGAAACATATTCGCTATAGAATCCTGTCTTGTTGACATAAAAGGAAAGAGTTTGAGCTAAAAGGAATCCAAGCATTTACTTCAAAATTTTTTTCGAAAATTTTCAGAATTATAACGTATTCTGAACGAAAGTGAAACGAAGTTCAGAAAAAGAAAATCAAAACTATTCTATTACACATCTGTAATTTGATATCAAATGTGTTGCAAAAATTGAAAGTTAATTCAATCTTCTCAAAAGATCTTTAATTTGAACTTTAACAATTTACCATGGCATGAGAACTACCATTAAATTATATTCATTCAAATTTTATGTCACTTTTATTGTCAATTGAGATAAAACTATAATTCCTAAGGTCCCAATTTTGAGGGTGGAAGATCTGCAAAGTTATTAGCTTCCATTTTTATATTTAAAAATATGTTGTTGTATTGGAAAAGTTAGAGATTTTGATCTTACAATTTCAAAACGAGTTATTTTGAATTCTTTCGCTTTGTGTGGGCGTTACGTAATAAAAAATTGAATCTTAATTAAACCCATTCGAATGAATTTGATTGGCCTCATATTATAATTAAAATATAGTTATTTAGCCAAATGTGGCATTGTTGTCCGATGGACAAGTGTAACCACATGAGGCCAGATATTATATTCACGAGAGGATGATTGCTGATGAAAAGAAGAAGAGTGATGCCATGTTTGCTTCAATCTTACCTCCTATGCTTGTTCCATGTGTACAAAATGGAGAGAAAAACATCTCGTTCTCTATTCAATCAGCTACTGCTCCTTTCCTCTATGTTTTGCGAATGTTTATGATCTCTTTTTGATAGAAAAATATGTTTGATTAGGAAGTTATATTTTGAAGGGAAAAAGCTATCAATTCAATATACAATAAATAATGATGCATTTAAATCAATATGTTCAACTTTCATTGGTATAAAACAAAGGAACAATTATTGATCAAATAAATTTAATATATTCAGGATCAAATGTATCATCTTCTAAGTTTATTAAAGCTTCGCATTTTGAAGTAGATAAATGAGAGAAAGTTAAATAATTTTCTTCTGTTGTGATATTTTCAGTAGTAATTTCATTTGGAATAGATGGAGTACTCTGAACCTAACAATTTTTAACTGTAAATGATATAGATCCACTATATTTGTTAAAAAGTTTAAATCCTAATGGACCTTCATTTCCAAATATAGTACAGTTTTCAATTGTTATAACTCCTTGACAATAAAATATTCCAGTAGAAGTTGTACTCACTTTGTTTTTCAAAATGTTGCAAAAAGAAACAAAAAATGTTTTATAATTAAAATGACCTAATAATTCAGATTTGCATGAAGTATTTTCAATTGTACAAAGTGAAACCAATGCTTCTGTTGATGGATAAAGGCCATAACTAGATTGGAGCAGTGCTGTACATTTACTGATATTTGTGGATCTAATAGAAATATTTCCGTAATATAAAGATAGTGTTTTTCGGGCTTTTTCATTGCCACATAGACAAATCGACGAATCATAGACAAAAAAATTGTTAGGATCTTTAAAATATGAATGGGAGTGTTGGCCTCCTTCTATATCAGTATTAGTTGTTTGCGATAATAAAGAGCATATTTTGTGCTGAACAAAACAACTTTTACAGTTAAAATAAACACTGCCGCCGCGACTTGGGCTTGTGTTATTCTGAAAGTTGCATTCTGAATGTAGTACTTTGATATTGTTGGATAAATATTTGACTGCGCTATCTTTGTTGTCAAAGAAGAAACTGAGGAGGACAAAACACTCTTGTTCTGTTGCTGTTGGTTGGCAATTACGGCATGTAATGTGATTTGGTTGATCAGACTTTTGATAAAAATAGTGCCATGCATCAAATGGAACATTTGATATCTATCAGAATTCAAACAAATCAAAATTGTAAACTATTCAAAATTGAATATTTTTTCGAATTATCTCAGACTTTTCAGAGGATTGAGTTGTCACTCAATCCTCTGAAATAGTCTGTGATAATTCTTAGTCTCTACACTATATCAATATAAGCTCCATTTTTAAACTGTTTTTAAAAATCGAGCATTGAAAAAAGTGATGAGACTTTTAAATTATAATTTCAGAACTAAACTGGAAAATACGTTTATTTGAGAATTCTTTTTCTATCCTCTTTTTGAATTTGTGTCAAAAGATTGTCTATTTAAGGTTAAATGTCAAAACTTTATCTCTGAGTCAACAGTTTACATGTGTCAATTATGGATCAAACTATATACAAATTGGAGATGGGAAAAATCCTTGTATATCGGATATAGAAGGAGCTTTTGAAGTTCCAGCACAAGTTGATTCCAAAGATGTTGTATCAATTGGTGACTATGCATTTTATAGATGCAAAATTACTAGTATCAAACTACCTGATACAATTTTATATATTGGTATCCGTTCTTTTCAAGAATGTAAAATAACTGAATTTATTTGTCCAAAAAATGTTATAGAAGTCAAACAATATGCATTTTATCACTGTCTATGTTTATTTGCTGATTTGAGTCAAACAAAACTCAAACAATTCAGAGATTACCAACATTTTGCTGGTAGTTTACTTGAAAATATTCTTCTTCCAGATAGTTTGGAAGCTATTGCAGTTCATATGTTTTTTGAGACAAATATTAGAAATATAACGATTCCGAGATCATGTAAATGGATTTATAACGGAGCCTTTATTTGCTGTCCGTATTTAGAAGATTTTTTTTCAGAAAGTCCTTATTTTGTTGTCCATAACAAAGTTCTTTACAGTAAAGATTATAAGATTTTGCATGGATATCCATGCAATTGTAACGTAGAATTACTCCCAACTGTAATCGGTATTTCTGTAGCTAAAGGTTTTTCTTCCACATCTTTTGTCAATATCACTATAAATTTACCGCTAATAACGATTTTCGATCATGCATTTAGAAGCTGCCCTAATCTTGAATATGTTGATTTGAGTTGTACCAAAGTAACTATGATTTATAATGCAATATTTTATGGCTCATCAAAATTGAAAATAGTGATTTTGCCACCACTGCTAAGAAGTATTGATAAATATTGTTTCTATGGTTCAAATATCGCTGAACTCATCCTTCCTCCTGGCGTTTCTTATATAGTACCAAATGCTTTCGAAAATACTAAAATAACTGATATATATTATTGTGGAACGAACACTCTTGACTCTACTTCTTTACCCAGAACTGATATAAAAATGCATGTATCAGAATATTTCTCTATATCAGCAACTAAATTTTTGGGCTGTCAGATTGTTGATAGAACATTTTCATGTCCTGAATATCAATGCCTTAATTTGATAGATCAATCATTCATGGATTGCCCAACAATTAAAAACTATTTCTTTGGTCATTTTCATCCCAATATTTTATTATATACTGTAATGATTGTAATGTAAAATATTAGCTTTTTGAGTTCATGCTTGCATTGACATGGATCTGATTTCATACAAGATATATTCAAGATTCTATTGCTTTCATTCAGATATCTGTTAAAATTATAGATATCATATGAAAAGATATTGAAATTCATGTGTGATTTATGAAAAAAAGATTTATGAAAAATTCTATTTTGATAGTTTAAATCATCTTCAACTATTAGTGTGTAATTGAAGGAATGCGCCAAAATTATTGGTTATGAATGATAGATATTGTTATTGGTATTGTTGACTGGAAAAATAGCCATTACTGGCTTGTTGATAACGAATCAAGTCATAAAGCATATCTTCCTGGTATATGTCGGAGTTCAAATACAAATGCGATTTTGTCTCATTTAGTAGAAGAAAGGTACCATCTAGATCTGAATTTGGTTCAAAATTGGCGATGAAATGAGTTGGATATAAGAAATTCAAAATATTGATGTCACTATTGACAAAGTATTAATGATTGTTCTGAACTTTGATTTTTATATAAACTACATGAATATAAATATTTACAAATACAAACAAATAAAAATGAGAAGTAATCATGATTCTGGAAGCCATGTAAGGTATTGTGGATCAATTTTTCTTTTTGGAGTTGCACTTCGATGTTTTTCAATTGCTTGTCGAAGGCTTGGTGAAGATACATCAATCTCATATTCTCCTTTGACTTTTGTAAAGCAATGGAACTGTTTAAGGGAATAAATTATATCTTCTTTTTGTATACTTGTCAAAATTACGATATTATCAAGTGATGTCATTTCTGATTCTCTTGTATTAAATAATTCAAGTAATGTGTCCTTCCAATATGAAGAGAAGGCCAATTTTCCTAAATCAGATAATGGTTTTTCTGGGCCACCGGCTCTTCTGGAGCGTCTGGCAAGTTCATAGCTGAGAGATATGCATAAGTTACCGTATCCTTTCTTTTGATAAGGTGGTAAAGTAGTAATACAGGATAATACATTTCCTGCTAAGCAATTTACTTCTTTTGAGAAGTATGCTGCAATATGAGCACCATTGTTGTCGCATTCGCATATAACATAGAATAGAAATCCTTCAACATCGTAAAATAAAGTTTTGTGATCTAAAAAAAGCTTCGAAAGTAGACAAAGACATTGGCATGGCACTTTATCTATCCATCCCTTCATCTCGAAGATGCTTAAATTGTCATGTCTGTATATTTCTTGGCCTGGAGGGCATTTTTCGCCTGTTTTCATAAGATGTTCTTTTAATTTTTGTGCAGATTCAAAGTATTGAAAGCAATGATCACAAATATATATGTGTTCCATCTTTCCAAATGGATTTGGATACGGAGAATAATACCAAGCTTTAACTGTATAAGGACCGATAGTAATTCGATCAATATTTCTGATTCTTGTCGTCTCTTGGTGTGCTTCTTCGAATTGTTGATATTGTGGTTCAAGTTTATCTACATCTTCTTCGTCAAGGAGTTTTCTAACTGTTCTTGATGATAGTTTATCTTCAGTCATGAAGCATATTACATTGGGATCGTCAGATATCTCTGAAATAGGAACCCATCTATCTAATCTTTTATCTTGTTTTATAAAATGAACGTAAGCTACCTGCTTTTGTATATTAAATGTTAGGATGACTGCATCCATTTTTTGCATATATTGTTCGCAATAAACACTCACAACATCACCAACACTTAATCTTTTCGATTCCATAAAAAGTGACAATGTAAAATGATTGAAAGTGACAATTTTTATATAAACGTGACAAATCCAAAAAAAAATAAAAAGTGACAGATCTTTTGATAAAAAGTGACAAAAATGTTTTTTGGAAATGATGGCTGTATATTAAAGTGGGATTCGACAGACAAAATGCTTGTTATGCAACGTTTACCAGATCCTACTGAAAGCCACACAAAACTTGTCCAAAATTTTGCAAAAGTTTTCAAAAATTTACATTCATCTGTCATTTCTCAAACGGATGGAACCATTTTCCTTGCAGCATGCCAAGGATATGCTGACTCTCTTGGCGATAATAAATTTGGATATCCTCTATTTAAACTTTTAGAATCTTGTGTCTTAAATTATAAGGCCACAAATGTTAAACAAGCATTTAATTCAGCATTTAAGTTCTATACAGATAACATTGCACCAAATCCAGTTCATCAAATCATTCACACGCTCGTTTGTAAACAAAATCAAAATTTCATTGAAGAATATCAGAATATTGGAGGCTCTATTCAAGTCGGAAATATGTTATCAGCAGTTTACGCTGCTACAAATATCGAAGCATGGCGTATTTATTTAAGTAACATTCCTGATGCGACAGAATTCGATAAAAAGGTCATTGCCTTTATCAATGACGAAAACTACAACTTAGGAGACTGGAAATTGAACATTGCTGCAAAATTATGTTTTAGATATAACTCAATTACGAAATCAGAGCTCAAAGATCTTTGTTATCCACATCTTTCTAATGTCCAACCAAATACTATTGATTCTATCATCAAAGTAATGTTCGATACCGACTTTTCTACTTTAATTACAACAATTTATGCGATGACAAACGATGAAATGGTTGCAGCCCACTTTATTGATATTCTTTATACAGTATACGAGCATGGCAAGAATTATCGAAGCAATCCGGTTGATCAACCAAGAAATCTTGCAATAAGAAGATATGTTGAGTCATTATTGCAAAATACTGAGTTCGCGAATGAAGCTGTGATGTACCTGAAAACAATACAGAACGGAGAATCCATAATTGAAGTGATTTTCCCATATATTAAAATGCATCTCAATCCTGTAACGCTTGGCTCCATTAGAAATACAAAGGAGTTCACATGTAAGTTCACAGAACAGCATTACATCTTTAATTTGCTCGAAAACGCAAGAAAAGAAGGCAATGAAGCGGTAATTAAGGTTTTGAACGAAGAATTCCTTAACTGCAGTGTTTCTGATCAGGAAAGGATTGTTGCAGAAAACGAAGATTTGATTTTATCCAATTTGGAAATTGATAATAAAATTTTGCCAGCAATGTTAGCTGCAGCAAAGAATTCTCATGTTAAAAGTGCTATAACAATGAGATTGTTTAATTTAATAGAGACAAATAATACTATTCCTCGTTATGAATAAAATATAGAAGTAAATTGTAAATTTTTTGATAATATATGATTATTTTTAATTAATAGATTATATATTTATTGTATTACAAACAACTAAAGAAAAATGTAAAATTATTGGTATCTTGGAGGTCTTGTTCCAATAGCCTCGTCATGAAGATGTTGAGCCTCTAAGTATAATCGAACTAAAGACTTTTGATCTACTGCATTCGATGAATTTCCTGCGTTAAATAAAGGAATCCATTTAGGACTATGCTTTTTTCCGTCAACAGAAGGTGTTTGATCGGAAATGATTCGACATACTAAACATGGAGGGAATGAAACTCCCTGCATTTTGATTTGTAATTTTGTTTTAATTTTGCTATCTGAAGATTCCAAAAATTCTGGATAAATACGACTTAATTCCTTTGGGCTAAGTGTTTGCTCGAAGTCACGGCAGCATTGAAGCAAATATTTGTAGGTAATGCGTGCCATATATTTATTCCATGCCTTTTGAATGATCTTTGCTGCATAATTGCGAGAATGTTTGTAAACTAAAGGATATTTTTGGGCAACTATATCGATTTCATCAGTACTCATTATCCGTTTTTTGCAATAAAAGTGACAAAAAAAAGGAAAATAATTGGTACGGTCACTCATTAACCTTAAAATTAAAAAATATCTAGGGTATTTATATGCGTCCAATCTCCCTATATATTTTATTAAAAAAGCCTTCAATGGGACATTGCAACATAACATAGCCATCTATACTTTCTCAATGCATATTGATTCGGATGAACCCTCTTCGGGCTGATTATATTTTGCAATTTCAGTAAATGTCGTTAAAAACCATTCACAGTAATAAGATAGCTTCTAAGATTATTAAAACAATGAATCACGTTTTCAGAAGCATACATTAAAAAATGAAATTTCGACTCCATGGTATCCAGCCAAAATTTTTGTTAGATAATCAGATATATAAATCGCATTCAAATGGTAAATACACAGTTGAAATATGCAGTAATTCGGCTAATACAATTTTTCTGTAGGGATTAAATTGCGATATTTAAATGCTTTCATGAAGTTTTTCAGAAGTGATTTCTCTTTTTCTTACTAAGTAATATTCATTAACCAAACAATTACTCTGATTTCATGAGATTTATTTAATATTGAAATTTGATATCTTATCATAATGCTATTATTTGATATCACAAACAATAACAATTACGAAATATTTACGGATACACTTAGATACGATTATTATATTTACTTGTTGTTGATGAAATAAAGACATTATTTATTTACTTTGAAAAATATTGAAATTCATCATGCGTATTTCATTTTTATCATAACATCTGAGATCTGTTTTGCTTTGTATTGAAGAGAAAAAATATTTATTATGGAAATCAAAAATTATTGGTTTTTCTCACTTGTAAATGATTCAAATTCAAAGTTTGGACAATAATACTTCATCATAGTTTTCCAAAAAATATTCAAAATCTATTTTTCCTAGTGAAAAATTAAATCTTTGATAATTATTTTTCTTTTTTCGATTTTTTTTTGGAATTTTCAACTGTGAAATCGAACGGGATGATTACCACAGTTTTATTTCCTATCATATGACATAATGAATTTGACTTTCAATTTTAAAATATAATTTCATACACAAATATCAATCCAAATAATATGTAATTTTGAAACAAATGTATTAGATTGTGAATAAGTGTAAGCTAAATCAGTAAAACATTCTGATAAATAGAGTACAAATCAAGTTTTTAGTCGAATATATCTTCAATTTAGAAGATTAAAAACGTAATTCTAAGATTGTAGTTAACATCTGCGATCCTTGTTCTAATTGTTATAAAGTTCATAATATCGTAAGCTTCAATTTTATACAAGAATTGTAAATTGTATCAATTCTACTGCATTATTTTGATATATGATTCATTTTATGATAGAAAACTGATCTACTTCTTGTACTGAATCGTCTCGTGTCGATATATAAGTAAATTTTGTAGATAATTCGTGGGGATAATATAACTCAAGATTGTATTAGCCGATTTTCTCCAAGCTCAAACATCTACATATATACGCTATGTATAGTCTCTAGCCAGAGTCTCAGGCCATAATTTTGGTTGGAAGGAAGTGACTGTACCTTTTAATTGGTATGCTTTTAAACATTCGGAGATTTATTGTATACCCCAAGTGGGGGCGATGGGGGACAAAAAATGAATATATATATCCTTTAAAATTCTTTCAATAACATTGAAAGGGAGGAATAGTTTTTTTTTACTTTGAATCAAAACGTGACAAATTTTAAAAGAAATGAGTATTCCAGCAGCACAAACAGAGCATTCACTTGGCATTGCAAAGGAATTAGCCGAAAAATTTCTTCCTCTTATGAATACAGACAAAGAAGCAATGACTAATTACTTCGGAGAAAATGCAACTTTAGTATTTCAAGGAAGGAAAATAGAAGGAGTTCAAGAAATTCACGACTTTCTTGCAGATTTAGGAGAAATTCAGTTATCTGTTTCTTCTTATGATGTTCAGACAATTCAATCGGCTAGATCATGGACAATGGTTGTTATTACAGGAATTGTTTTATTAGGAGGATCTGTAGCGAATGATTTTCATTGTAGTCTATACGTAGAAGCTAACGAATCTAACCAAGTTGCCTTTATTAGATTTATGACCTTTAATTACTTTTAGAATAAATTATTTGTTATTTGTTGTCTAATTGCATACCATTCATTCCAATTTTGGCCATCTTAATTTCTTTATATATTGACCAATAGATATCTTTGTAAAAATACATAAACCCATATAATGATTCGCATATACCCTCAATATAGCACTAATTACAAATTCAATTGAAGCATTTTTTATAATACTTTTAATATCTCTAAATAATCTAAGTCTAATCGTATACTGTGACTAAAATAATAAATAACTAAGCATTAGAATGATACAATTAATTATTTATTCGAATATTTTTAAATATTTTTAAAGATTTTAAACAATTGAGTAAGTAAATCAATGATGAACAGATTCACAAGGACGAGAAATCTATAAGTTAATATAAACAAACATATTTATTACATATAAAAAATATAATTATTGTAACATAGCCCTTCTTGGCGTTTTTGTTGCAGATTGTGGTCTGAGACTAGAAGCCCTGTCCTTCTTCGGCTTCTTTTCTTTGTCATCAGTACCTGTCTTTTCAGTTTTTGTCTTTTTCTTCTTTGTCGATTTCTTTCCTTTTGCAGCTTTCTTTTCTTCTTGGAGTTTCTCTTCTTCTTCACGTTTCTTCGCTTCTTCGGCATCTCTTTCAGCTTGCAATATACTCTCCTTTTGAGCCATAGTTCCTTTAATGAAATCATTCAAAGCTTTCAAGTTATTGTTAAGCATTTCATTTAATTCATCCATTTTTGCTTTATGAGCTTCTTCTTGTTCTTTTCTCTGATCTTGTGCTTGCTTGAGTTTCATCTCAGCTCTTTGTCTGTTACTTGCTTTGTTCTCGAAGTCTCTTCTTAACTCACTTTGTACTCTTTCCAAATCCATTTTGAGTTTATTTGTTTCATTGTAAGTTTCTAATCTAAAATCAGTGGCTTTTGTATGTGCTTCTCTTGCTGCTTCATATTCACCTTCCATCTTCTTCAATTGTTCTTCACACGAGTTCTTTAAGTTACTCAATTCCTCAAGATGAAGTGATTTTTGTACCGATGTTTGTTCGACAATTGATTCTTGTTCTTTTATGTCTTCTCTAAACTTCATCAATCTCTTTTCTTCTCCTTTAAGGAAATCGACATGACGCTCTGCAACACCTGCTATGTTAGAGTTCAATGTCTTCTTGTGTTCTTCGATTAAAGATGCAACTTTTACATATGATCTATATGAGAAATCATTCATTGTTACATCGATATCTCCAATTGTTGTATTTGTTTTCAGGATTTTGATGAGTGTAGCAGCAGTTTTATCTTTCATTTCATTGTTCTTTAATGAGATAGAAACTAATGTTGTGTTGTTCTCAATGGCTTCAAATAACCTGACGCCACCGTCATCAGAAATTTTGTTGTTGTTCAAATAAAGTTTTTGAATTGGAGTTACACCATTTGCAAGGACAACTGAGATTGCAGCGGCGCCTTTACTTGTACATTCTGTTTGAGAAAGATCAAGAATTGACAAAGAAGTGTTTTGTTCAAGACTTTCCATTAATTTAATAATTCCATTGTCTCCGATTTTGTTTCCACTTAGATTTAAGATCCTTATCTTGGAATATGTCTTAAGGACATGACAAAGATATTCTAAACTTTCATTTAATTTGTTATGAGCGAGTGATAAATTGCTGACTCGGCAGCCATTATCGTAAGCTTGTAGAATGTACTTTAAAAAGCCTTTCGTGAAGTTGTTTCTTGATAAATCTAAGTATCTCAGTGACTTTGCACGTGAAAGTTGAGTGACAAGTGCTGGACCAGCATCATCTCCAATGAGATTACGAGAAAGGACAAGACTTTCTAGAGCTCCAAGTGCTCCTGGCTGAGAAAACATAGAATTTGCTCCTGCCGAGCCAAATCTATTTGATGAGAGATCCAAATGAGTGAGAGAAGTATTGTTTGGAAGAGCCTGACCTATGTGATGACATCCTTCAGCAGTAACTCCACACATCGCTATATTCAGATTACAAAGAACGCCATTTGAAAGAAGAAGATTTGCAAGTGCTTCGCAACCAGGAGTGCCAATTCTATTTCTATCTATACCATCAATTGCACTTAAGTCAAGTGTAGTAAGATGCTGATTGTGCATTAATCCTTCGAAGATTTGGACGCAGCCATCGATGCCAATGTTATTTGACTTAAGATCTAATTGTATTAAGAGTGGATCATATGATAGATATTCAGCAAGATAACTTGCACCTTGATCTGAAAGGCGGTTCAAAGATAAATCCATAAAATAAAATGGGCGCTTAAATGGAAGAAGAGCCATAAGGTATTGGGATGAAAGAGGTCCAAGACCAAGTCCAGTGAAGTTTAATGTCTTCTTACGGATTGAATTCAAAAATTGTTCAACAAACCTTAATTGTGATGAGTCATTAGGTATTAATTCTAAGTCTGAACATTTACGTTTATAAATTGCACATGCATCATCCTCTGTAAGTTCTGCTGAGCTGTCAATTTCAAAAGTTGCTTCTCTTGCTGAAGTTTTTGTGTCTGTTAAGCTCTGTTTTTTAACAATATTATGATTAATGATGATTGTGTTGATCTTGTTATCAATGTTCCTCCTGAAGGAATCAGAGAGGAACCTTTTTACGTTCATTTCTTTTATTTCTGTCAAAAATTTTTGTACGTTACGCATATTCAATTTATTAATTTTACTATTTACTGAATAATAAGAGGAAATATTTCTATTTTATTTTGAAAAGAAAAGTGACAATAATGAAGAGCCAACCAGACTTATCTGAGCACTTACAAAATCAAGGCGGTTCAACAGAAGGCATCAGAGATATCCAAACAAAAGAACAAAAGAAGAAAGTTGTCGAAATTAAGAGTTCTGACTTAGATTTAGTTATCAATTCTACAAAACTCTCAAGACAAGAATCCATCGATCTTATTCAGAAGGCCGACGGAAATATCAAGTTAGCCCTCGAAATGTATGTTCAACAATAAAAAAATTTTTAAAATAATATAAACTAGAATATTTCTTTCTTTTATTACAATCCGTATTTCACTCTTTTAAATCGAAAAACTACTGAATCAATACAATATTAATCAGAATGAATGATTTTATCATAATTTTGATATTTGTAGTTATTTCTTTGTCTAAGGCATGGATATGTCAATATTTTCATACAGTGCCTTGAAAATAAGAATGAAATTAATATATTTTGAGATGAATGTAGTAAAATGAAATTTCGTGATTCAAAATATGCGCATCAATATAAAAACATATTTTTACTAGTAAATTTCAATTATTATGCTCTGTTTATAAATAAAATTATATGGATAATAGATATACGTATTAATTTGGCATATATTATCGTAATGTTTCATCAATGAAGCTACTATCCCATAATATAGCTAATTCTATATCATGGTATCTGAATGTTCAATATAATCATATTAATATGAATAATTTCATGTTTCAAAACAAAATACTAAAGTCAGTACTTCTAATTTTTCTAAATATTGATATGATAAAGCATGTTACACAAATGGTTAACCTGAATATTGATACAATAAGAATTGAGATTTACAAAATTGTTTTAACATATTATTTCATGTTATGTCTTTGAATTAAAGCCTGTGTATATTCTAAATACCAAATAAAATAAGTATTTTATTGATTTCAATGAAGAAAGATTTTGTCCTTTTGATTTGTAAAGTATGCAAAAAATAATTTTCTCAGAATGGACGCACCTCAAGAAAATAAGGCGCACCATCAGACAAAAGAGAAAGTAAAGAGCGTTGATCTTCATAATATCAAGGCTTTTGGCTATCAGAGTGGCCAAAGAACACGAAATGCGATTGCTCACCAATTAAACATTGAGCAAATCAGATTATTCCAAGCGCCTACACACAAATTACAACCAGAAGATCCACCTATTGTCGTTGCTGTCCAAGGACCGCCAGGATGTGGCAAATCAATGTTAATTCGCAGTTTAATCAAACACTATTCACAACAGAGAATTGTAGACTTGAAAGGACCAATAACTGTTGCTATTAACAAAGTTTCGAGAATTACTTTCATTGAAGTCGCCCCAGATATCAATTCAATGATGGACGCTTCTAAAATTGCAGATTATGTACTTCTCATGGTTAACGCCGAACATGGATTCGAAATGGAAACATTCGAATTCCTCAATTTGCTTTTAAGCCATGGTTTTCCAAGAGTTATGGGAATTATCACACATTTAGACTTAGTTGATAGGTCTGTTGGCAAAGATATCAAAGACAGATTCAGAAAAGAACTCAATACAGGCATTAAAGTCTACAAACTCGAGAAAATCGTCAATGGAAAATATGAAAAGAAATCTATTCAGGATTTAGCACGTAAACTTAACATTACTAAGATCAATGCCCTTAGTTTTCGTAAAAACAGAGCATTCTGCCTAGTAGATCGTGCAGAAAAGTCACCAGAAAATCCAAATCGAACAATCTTATACGGATACAGTCGTGGCACCGGCTTCAAAGATGGAGATCACTGCCACTTAGCTGGGGTTGGCGATTGCGTTATTGAAAAAGCTACAGAACTCGAAGATCCATGCCCAATTGTTACAAAAGAAGCCTCTACACGTACATTGCTTAAAGCGCAACGCACTATCCATGCTCCAATGTCCACTTTGGGTGGTGTTGTCCTTGATGATGAAGGCGGCGGCACAGTAGACATCCCAATCAACCAAATTAACTTCACCGACATCCACAAACCAGGTTTGGAGATCACCAAAGAGCAGATGGAAGAGCTCGATGAGGGAATCGAGGTCACAGAAGGTGTCAGGAAGGTCAGAGAGATGCAACAAGCTCCAGCAAAGAAAGAAGACGAAAACGAAGAAGAAGAGGCCATGGAAATCATGCCAGGTGTAAAGTTGGAGACACAAAAAGTTGAAGAAGCCAAAGAAGAAAAAATTGTTCAACCGAAATCAGAAAAAGTAGCCGAAGAAGAGGAAGAACAGGCCGAGGAAGAGGAAGAAGAGATGGAGCCACCTCAGCAGGATGAGTTTGCCGGTGAAAGCTCCGACGGATTTGATGAGCCAGAAATGGAATTAGAAGAAGGACGCATTGCACCAGGAAAATACGTCAAGCTCGAGTTCTCCGACATTTCACCGCAATTTATTACCCGTCTTGACCCTACAAAACCCATAGTTCTTGGCACATTATTCGAAGAAGAGCAAAGTGTCTCCAGACAATGGATCAAAATCAAGAAACATAGGTTCTACGACAGAATCCTCAAGTCAACAGATCCATTTATCATCTCTGTTGGCTGGAGAAGATTCCAAACAATTCCAATTTTCTTCAACGAAGACAGAGGCGGCCGTCTCATGTACTTAAAGTACCTCAAGGACCTCGCTACTAACTACGCTACCTACTATGGCCCATCATCTGCAATAAATGTCGGTGTAACCGCTTTCCAACACATAAAAGAGGATTTGGTCGCATTCAGAGTCAGCGGAACCGGCGTTACAATCAAGGAAATGGGTGACGGCAAGGTCGTGAAGAAGCTAAGAGTCAAAGGTACTCCGAAAGAGATACACACGAGAACTGCCATTATTCAAGACTTATTCACAAGTGAAGTCGAAGCAAATCAGTTCCTCAACGCTCAGATCAGAACAGTTTCTGGTATCAGAGGCGTCGTCAAGGCTTCTGATAAGAATGGAAATGTTAGATGTTCTTTTGAAGACCAAATAAGAAAAAGTGACATCGTTTTTATCAACGGCTGGGTAGAAGTCAAACCAACAGAGTTCTATTCCGAGATCAAGAACTTTGTCACCGAGAACATCCCTCTGATCAAGACATACGCTGAGATCAGGTCAGAAAACAATCTCAGACCACAGTACAAAGAAGACTCTGTTTACAAGGATGTTGTTCGTGAAGAGAAAGAAGAACACGCTCCAAAGATCCCGAAGAGCATCAAGCAGAACTTGCCTTACGAGCTCCGCAAGAAGAAGGACGACCAGCCAAAGGCAAGAGCTGTCATCTTAGATGAACAAAGCGCGAAGATGAATAAGGCATTCGAAATGACGAAAGCTTTGTTCATGCAGAAAACAATGGAGAAAGAAAAGATCAACCAGAAATTACAGGAAGAGAAAGAAAAGGCAGAGAGAAAGGCAGAAATGGAGAGGAAACATAAGATGACGAAGAACAAACAGGAATACTTCAAGAAGCATCCAAAGATGAATAGAAAATAAGTCTTTATATATTATTTTTATAAGTATTTATAATTTTTTTATTAATAAAGAAATTTTCATTATAGAGTTTGTTATAAAAAAATAAAATATAAGCCGATCTGACTTTATTTCAAATTTTGGGGCATTATCATTTTCGTCTGGAAAAAGTGACAAAATTATCATTTTCGTCTTGCTTCTGAATTATTGAACTATAACTCTATTTCTAATAATTTAAGCGCAATCTACCCATACACAACTTTATTTAATAGCTCCTTGTGCATGTTATCATTCTAGTCCCAACTTCAAATTGTTTCAATTTTTGTGATTTTCCAGTCAATTTTTTCAGCGAAGTCAAAATCATATACTCAAACTATTCAATTTATTTTCACCAAAATTTCCTAATAGATGCATTGCAATTCAAGTAGGTATCATTGCATTGCAATCTCATAAATTTATCTTTTTAGCATGACCCTGAAAATAAAAAATTATCATTTTCGTCAGACGAAAATGATAATTTTGTCACTTTTCCAGACGAAAATAATAATCCTTCTCAAATTTTTGACAACTGGCGTGAAGCATCATTTAAAATCAACATTAATCATCTGAATTGAAAACCATGTCATAGGGGCGTAAGTGAACCCTTAAAAGCATTGATTTTGAATACTTAACTTATAGATTCATTTTGATAATTCAATAATCTAAATATGTTTTTAGAATTTAAGAGTATACATATCGTTCATAATTATAACTATTCTAACCATTATACTATGCACTTAGTTTTATTCTTTCGATTATGATTTGATTTTATAGCAATCATCGAAATTTTATCCCGAATCTTGGCGGATGATTTAGTATTCATTGTAATATAACTAATAACAGCAGAAAGTCATATACATTGGATAATGTATCATATGAGAGTCAATATCAGAGAATCAAAAATACCCTACGTTCCCAACTTCTGGAAAACGGTTTTTCACCCTTATGATCAGTTTCAGACACTTTGGGAGTCTCCCAAACTTTGATATTTTGCATTATGATAGAGAAACGTGTCTAGTTTAACGCACAGTTGTTTTAAAGGCAAATGATGATATCACATGAAATTATCAAATTATCAAATTTTGAAGTACCAGTCCAAAGGGTTAATTAGATCCTACACAGATGTGCGATAGTGAAACATATGTGTTCTTGATTTGAGAAGTCCTACTGATAGAGGTATGAATCTCACAGCTTTGTGTGAGTGTGTCTGACACTTGTATAGAGTGGAATATGCACCGACATATATTATATAATAACATGTAGTTCATAATTATGAAAAAATAGAATTCGATGCGAATGATATTGAAAGTTGTTTTGTAATTTGATATTTTTCTTATATGTGTTAATTAGTAAATGGCTTGTTTGTTGTGATAGTACTGTGAAAAATGAAAGGTATTTTAAATTAAAAAATTGAGATTTTGAGATATCTCTAGAATTAAGAATTTATTATGTATTTGACTTTTATATAACTATGTATAAAGGATCTCGATGTCTATATGCTTTAAATAAAATTAAATAAAATGAGATAAAAAATTAAAATGGACAAGAAGATATATGGAAATGTAATTTGTATTGTGTTGGTTGTTGGCAAAATGATTTTAATACAGATTTAAGGATTTGGAATGGATTTGAAATTAAATGATTTTAATTCAAGGAGTAATAAGATTTTGAACTGGTTTTTATTTTGTGAATGTAAACTCCTTCCATAGGATATGTATTAGAAAGATCAATGTCAAACTTTTTGAAAGAATTGTTTTTTTGTTGAGCGATTTTCTCATATTTAATAATATATTTAAGTTGGCGTATCTTACGCCTTCCAAAAATATGTATTAGAAAGATAAATTTTAAACTTTTTGAAAGAATTGTTTTTTTGTTGAGCGATTTTCTCATATTTAATAATATATTTAAGTTGGCGTATCTTACGCCCTTCCAAAAATATGTATTAGAAAGATGACTTATAATTTCATAAATTATTTTGTCCCGACGGTTTGAGCGGTTATCAGAATGGTTGCTTACACAATGCGTCAGCAAAATGTCGGTTGGGGTGCCCTTCTTGGCCTCCTGAGTACTCACCAAGATACCCCCAGCTCCCGCAAAACACCTCCCTTAGGTGCGCATTACCTGACGGCATTATTTTGCAATTATTTCAAATTTTTTAGATGTCTTTTGCTAAAGTTTGTTAACTAAAGACTTGAAAACAGCTTACCGCTTCAAGCTGCTCTCTTCCCGGTTCCTCTGCCGCAATCTTCTGTTTGATTGTGCGCAAAGCTCTCCTCCTTGTGAACTTTGCCTGACAGATACACCTGGGAGACAGCATTCGGACATCTTACCGCTTCAAGCTGCTCTCTTCCCGGTTCCTCTGCCGCAATCTTATGTCTGATTGTGCGCAAAGCTCTCCTCCTTGTGAACCATGGCTGATAGAAAGAACTGAAAGACAGGATAGGAGGAACATGCCGGTTCAAGTTAACTTGCAATATGCTTCTGATTAGTGATTTTAGATGAAAGATTAGCGAAATCGCATTTAATTTGGATAGAAGGATTCAATTTTATGAAGCAGGCTCGTAGGAAATATGCAGGAATAGCACAATCTTTTGCAATCACAACGCGATTGCAAAACTTCGACCGACAAGAGTGTATTGTGCACTCTTGTCGGTCTGCATGTCTCATTCCGGGAGACATTGTCACTGCATGTCTCCCAGAATGAGACAATCTTCTGCAATCAGAATGTGGTTGCAAAACTTTGACCGACAAGAGTGTATTGTGCACTCTTGTCGGTCTGCATGTCTCATTCTGGGAGACATGCAGTGACAATGTCTCCCAGAATGAGACAATCTTCTGCAATCACAACGCGATTGCAAAACTTCGACCGACAAGAGTGTATTGTGCACTCTTGTCGGTCTGCATGTCTCATTCCGGGAGACATTGTCACTGCATGTCTCCCAGAATGAGACAATCTTCCGCATTCATAACTTGAATGCGGAAGTTTGACCGACAAGAGTGCACAATACACTCTTGTCGATCTAAATGTATCTTACAATCAAAGACACTTTCATACAATCTTTTCGAAGTTAAAAAAAATTTAATTATTTCTTTCTTTTGTTTATTAAATCGCCTTACTCACGTACTAATCTCTTTTAGAGACTCTATCGAGCTATCCCCACATATAAACCTGTGACAATAATACATATTTACTCTCTTCATATTCTGATCTCATGACACATTATCGCAAAAACTATAATTATACAACACATCTCATAAAGTCTCATTTTAGCCCTATCTAAGCGTTCAAAACCTATTTTCCACACGTAATCTGATTCTTCTGGCTCCGCTGATTCGATTTCTGCTGTCAGATCGTGAAAATATGCATCACATAAAGAGATAAATGCAAATTGCACAACTTAATAAGCTCTTTTTTTGAAAATTCAATTTTTTCCAAAAATGTATGAATTCAAAAGTTCAGATTATATCTAGTCATTTTCCAACATTAATTTTGTGTTTTAGTTTTTGAGATATTCATTTTATTATACTTATTATTCAGAAAATTAAAAGAATTTGTGAGGGGAAACGGAGGATATAATAAATATGTAAAGATGGATGAATAGACAATTTGAAAAAAAAAGCAATAATTTTGAGTTGTGTTTATCTTGTTATGTGATGCATATTTTCACGATCTGACAGCAGAAATCGAATCAGCGGAGCCAGAAGAATCAGATTACGTGTGGAAAATAGGTTTTGAACGCTTAGATAGGGCTAAAATGAGACTTTATGAGATGTGTTGTATAATTATAGTTTTTGCGATAATGTGTCATGAGATCAGAATATGAAGAGAGTAAATATGTATTATTGTCACAGGTTTATATGTGGGGATAGCTCGATAGAGTCTCTAAAAGAGATTAGTACGTGAGTAAGGCGATTTAATAAACAAAAGAAAGAAATAATTAAATTTTTTTTTAACTTCGAAAAGATTGTATGAAAGTGTCTTTGATTGTAAGATACATTTAGATCGACAAGAGTGTATTGTGCACTCTTGTCGGTCAAACTTCCGCATTCAAGTTATGAATGCGGAAGATTGTCTCATTCTGGGAGACATGCAGTGACAATGTCTCCCGGAATGAGACATGCAGACCGACAAGAGTGCACAATACACTCTTGTCGGTCGAAGTTTTGCAATCGCGTTGTGATTGCAGAAGATTGTCTCATTCTGGGAGACATGCAGTGACAATGTCTCCCGGAATGAGACATGCAGACCGACAAGAGTGCACAATACACTCTTGTCGGTCAAAGTTTTGCAACCACATTCTGATTGCAGAAGATTGTCTCATTCTGGGAGACATGCAGACCGACAAGAGTGCACAATACACTCTTGTCGGTCAAACTTCCGCATTCAAGTTATGAATGCGGAAGATTGTCTCATTCTGGGAGACATGCAGTGACAATGTCTCCCGGAATGAGACATGCAGACCGACAAGAGTGCACAATACACTCTTGTCGGTCAAACTTCCTTATACAAAATTTGATTCCCTTATTATCTTCTTAACAAAACTTAAGATTTCAATAATACATCATGAAAACATTCATTTACTACATTCACACTGTTATTCCTTTCTATAAATTAACTCATTTAATAGAATCTTGTTTTTATATCTTATTATTTTCTCATAATACTTCTAATTCCTCTATTTCCTCTTCCACATAAAATTTAATTTTGTAATGCTATCATATACACTTAATGTTTTCAAATTTTCAGATTTAAATTTAATCTTTATTTTCATCATCATTTATAATCTTGTTCCTATATAAAGTTATAATAAATTATCGTCAGATTCTAATATTTATGATTCTTACTACTCAATTCAATATAATTATGTTAGTCACTCATATTCAGGAGAATAATTTAAAAATCTATAGCTCATATTTTGATAGTTATATATTTAGATGATATATATTGCAATTCCGGTTTCAACACGATCAAATGCCAAACCAAG